CACAGGTCGTTGAGACGAACCATGTTCTCAACCAAATTGAGTTGGGTGTGATGGAGGCCGGTTCCGTCTCCTATCACCAAATTTAACCAGGTCGATGGTTCAATTTCATTGGACTCTGGGCCCTGCACCCCAAACGAACGCCCAAACATCTACGCACAGCATATCCCCGACGCTCCATGTATGGAATATATGCCTACTGGGGTGGTTTGGGGGGTCTGTGGCGGCAGTCCGGACTGGCAGTCCCATGGATCGTCGCGTCTGGGATATCGAATTGGGCTGCCCACAGCTGCTTCATCACAAGTTGAGTCGTCGAGTCGTCGAGTTGATTGATGTTGCTATCATTAAGCTGTAGATCACCCGAAACCCATGGACAGCTTAATGATAGCAACATCAATTTACTTAATGGGTGACTCTTATTGCCATCTACTCTTTAAGTTCTGAGTCACTCGAAACCCATGGATCCACCTCCGCCTGGCAGTTTTCCAAGCTTCGTCACAGTTCCTTCAGCGAAAAAGAAACGATCTGGGCTTCCTGACTGACTTTGTGATCATTCTATTAATAGTGGTGGGGAAGGAAGCCCAAACTTCCGCTGCGATGCAATTGTCCAACACCACTGAGGTTTGCACCATCGCTGTCGAACAAATGTCAGGCATGTAGATCTGTGAGCTGAGCTGCTACCGTTCGAATTAAAGCCCAAATTATACCAAATGCGGCAGCCCTCTGAACGACCCAACCATCTCTCAACAAATCAGTTCGTGATCATCAGCGCTCAGGCGGCGCCATCATGGCGTCCTCTCCAGCTTCAGGGAGAAAGCAAATATCATCCCTCCCAAAACGATGATGGAACGTAAATGCACCCACCAAACACACACACATGATATCATAATTACATCATAATTACATATATAAATAATTACACTCTAACATGGAAGTGGAAACCACCTCTTCACTCTAAAGAAAAAACGTCTTCCCAGGGGTAAGAGTCCGCTTCCATATTAGTGAGTCAAACGGCAAGCATTCATTTATGCATGTCACCCTCTGATCTCTTCGATTTGCCCACTCAAACTGAGTCACTCCCCTTCTGGATCCCTGGCTCCCTTGGAGGGCCATCATTTCACCGCGTGGCAGGGCCAGCTGTAGGATCTCCTTCTTCGAGAAGTCGCAACCCCCAAGGTTCAGCGTCAAACTCTTCCGCCAATAATCGCCTATAAGGTCAAAACTTCTTCGTCCCGCGAAGCTTTGCAATGGCCGTTCGGAATGGAAATCTTGTTGGGCTACAATTAAGGAACAAGAAGCTACTAGTAGCAAAGGGCATCGCTACTAGGAACCCGGGCATCGCTACTAGGAGCAAGGACGCTACTAGGATTACGCTCCCTGTACACAAAATGGCAGCGAGCCTCAGTTTGTCAACATGCTGCGGGAAGTCACGTAGAAACAGCTCGGTGGGGAGGAAGCGGAATCAAACGAAATGTAGCGGTGTTGTAACGAAATGTTGGTGAATGCAAAAGAATCTGCCAGTGTCCAGCCCAAAGGCTTGAGCATCCCCGACAAACCATCAAGGAAACTCAAGCCTTGATGCAAAGCTCGATCCCTATCAATTCTCCACATCATCTCTCAGTATTGAAGCTTTATTCGCCAAGTGGTTCTAGGTGAAGAACACTGACCGAACACACATCAAAACGCTAGAGCAGTGGTAGTCCCCTCCCCCGAATACAAACAACTTGACCTGGCCAATGGAGACACTCAAGAGATTCGATCGAGTGAGTGGCATGCTGAGATCCATAGCAACAAAACAATCACAAATGAAGAAAGCCAGGACGCAGCGAGGACAGCTCTGGAGTTCAGGTGACATGTAGTGGACTAATTCCGACTGTACAAAGTGAGGGAACAACGCATGCAAAGTGTCAGCACAGTGCACAGTGCGGCACAGCCCGCCTTGGATGGCTTTGGCCATGTCACTCAGCAATTGCCTGAGACCGATTTCTGCACCAAACAACCCGCTTCCCAAGCCGCTTCCCTGGCAGCCCTCGTGGAGCCAAAGCTCTTCACTTGCTAGAGCAGCGGCAACCTCATGACCTACAAGTCTAGTTTCTGGACTGGGCAAGGAAAAGCCAAACTAAGGGCTCACCTTGATCAACACCTTCAACTTGATCGTTCCTCCCAAAGACCCAAGACTTAAAACTTCGAGTGGCCACTAGGAATCGTTTGGGTGCATGATCATGCATGGTTCAATGATACAGTTGCTGCAAAGATGAAGTAATGTTAATTGGGAATTCCAGATTGTGCTACTCAGCAAGCTACTGAATGATATGTTCCTGTCGCCTGCCCCTTGTCACAACACTACAGCAGCTAAGCCATGTCCCCCTGGGCCCCCCAAGGATAGCACCCACCAAGCGTACACCCGGGATCCGAGAAACCACATGGAACCGGGCGAACGGCATGGACCAGTGTCCTGGAAGACGATGTTGTTTGAATACCAACCCGACGTGGATTTCAGAAGTTAATCTTCCACCAAACTTATCGAATTCGATTTCTCGACCTGTTCTTCGACCAGTTGCTTCTTTTCGGATGAGGCATTGCACAGCATAAAGGGCCAAAAGACCAGAAGGAGCATGCTCCGCAAGCGCCTTCGCGGCCAGAAGGGGAGCGCTAAACAGTCGAGAGTGCGCAGTTAAAAACATGGTTTGGTGCGCTAGGGCCTAGGGTTGTTGACCTTCCCCACACAAGGAAAAGCAACATCACTGATCTAGTAAGACCTAGTTACCATGGCAGGTGTCTCCCAACTCCCCGAAACATGCCTGTTCACTCGAATTCTGAACAAATGGTCAAGCAAGGCAACCCAAATTGACCATAGACAGGGATGTGTAACGCTGTTCTGCCGGAAGCCTTTTGAATCACAAATGATCATGAAATATCATGAAACCGTTCCACTTAGCAACGTGCATCCATTTTTTTGGTGTAACCTTGTATATGTACGAGCTGCATTCGAGAAAAAACACTGCAAGGTTGTTGATGTTTCTCAATTGTTTGTGGTCATGACGCAGCCCCCCGGCTCATTTCACATCAAGCTAATAGTCAGCTGACTGGCCCTTCGGCGCCCTTCGGAGCTTGCGCAAGGTTCAACATGATCAAACCAAACCTGTGGTCCACACCTGGTCATTCGTTGGTATGTCTCCACTTCCTCTTCCTCACCCTCTGGCACCGCCAAAGACCGCAAAAGCTTCTCGCGATCTTCCTGCATGGCAAACTGCCCCACCACGAAGGTCCCGTGGCGGGTCCAGTGGCTGGACGGGAAGGGGGGGAGAAAAAACATAGAAAACAAAACACACCACCCCATGTATGTATACCATATATTGTATGCCTACATTGAGCCAGAAAGCACTCCAATGTAGGCAAATATGGCATACATGAAGTGTCTGGGAAATATAGCTTACAGAAAACCCGGCCACACACAAACAAACGTTTCAAACTATATATACTCAAGTTGAGTTTGCAAAAAACAAACGAAGTGGAGTGAAATATAGCTTACAGAAAACAAAACCATACGCACACACTTAGACAAGGTTTTATCCAGTGCCATAATCCACAGTGACAGGGATGAGGGAAACGCACGGCGGCTGAGTCAGCAACATCACTTGAAATGCTTGAAAAACTGTTCGAAATCTCGCGCGAATCAGCAGCTGCAGAACGGCGCCGCGGAGCGAAAATGGGTTTTGGGGAATAGCATGAGAACCACCATGGCATCAAAGCACAGCGGTGAAAATTGGAGTGTTGGCACAACGGCAGGTAAGTGAGTCAAGCGTCCTTGACTCATATCACAGGAAATCCACGGTGTCTTCGTTGGATGCCGACCATGGAAGTCCCCGACGTCCCCCTGCTTTTTGGAAACATATAACCTCCTGGAAGCGGACGGGACACACACACACACACACGCACATACGTTTCAGGATGATGCATGATGATCAATATGTTGAGTTCAGTTGACCGGGAGAAGAAGACAGAAACAACAACCTGACGATACCTGATGCACCAACAAAAAGCACCACAAGGCCACGCACACCCAGAATGCCACGGCGGAGGACCGAGGATGGTGTGTGACTCTGCACTCCGTTCCAAATCCGTGGATGACATGACCCCGAAACGTAGACGACGACTTTCCTTTACGAATAGGGGTCCCAGGCACCATGACCCATCCACTTCTGTGATAGCTATCATGGCGCCGACTGTTCCACATCACATAAGTGGTTGGGTCCCAGGTGCCCAAATAAAGAAGCGACCTCATGACTCCGCGTCTTCCGAAAGACCAAACCACAATGATGAAACCCAAATCGTACTCGTAGTGTATACCCTCCTATACCCTTGCTTGAAACATTCAACACACATATTCAAAACCATATTCAATATTCCATGGCCTGACGGTCAGACCTGGAATCATTTCTCTTAGCGTACCCGCCATCTAAATACAGTATCCCCTGTAAATAAAGAGGTTCTGCAGCTCCAATGGGTTATAACCAAGAGTCTACCAGGACCCTCTAAGGGGCTTCTATTGATAGCCCCTTAGAGGTGATTCCGGGTGTCCATTAACCATTCACCACAACAAGTATTTGTGAGTCCTGGTACAATCCACGAGCGCGTCTCGTTTTCGCGCCCTTTGCCTCAACCTGGGATTCGGTCGAACTCGCCTCCTTGCTCGCCTCCGTCTTCTCCAGGGCGAAGCGCAAGGGCGCCTCGCGGCGAGGTGGAGAGACCGACCGACACCAGACGCGCAAGGGAGAAACCGAAGAGATCGAAGAGAAGCTTGCGCGGTCCCCATTCCAAACATGGGAAAAAAACATCCTTTTTATCATCAGTTTGGGGACTCAAACGAGTAAGTGCAGCCAGTTGAAGAATCACAATTAAGAAGTGCCACCAACATTCGCCAACATGTCGGCATGTTCCATCCAAATCATCCCTGCATCATCTCCCGCAAACGCGGGAGACTCCTGCGGTCCGTCCCATTTTGTCTTCCTTCTTCCACCACGTCATCCAAGGCGGGATGATCTTGGTGGCTGCTTCGCAGCTCCGGGAAAGCACCGTCAACCTCCGGTGCTCCGGACCCGCAGTCGGTGGGAAGCACAAAGACCCTGGTCGTCCCCCGGTGACGGAGACAGGGTCCGCATGGAGGGAAGCAGGGTCAGCGGCTTCAAGTCATCGGGTATTTCCTGGGCGAAGGAGGTGACAAGAATATGCCCTACAGGTCGACCTCATGTTACTGGAGTTGGTCAAACAAAAGCATCCGTCCGGGTCGGGAAACAGAACGTGTAGTGGTGTGCATTTGCAAACATGAGAAAGTCTCAAACCACAAACACCTTGTAAAACCCCACATCTTTTCTGTATTTTTTGTCATCTATGCGTGGAGACTGACTGGGTGCCCTACAAAACCTGTGTTTGCATTGAAACCTATGTATTTGTTCTAACTACAGGGCTTCGCTTCGTGAGTGTTATAGTGTTATTTGATTCGGAGAAAAAACATAAATAAAACCACCCATAGGAAATGCAACGCAAAACTCGCGCAAGTGCCGATGCCCAAGGGCTTGGCAGACCGATTCCCACGCCCGGTCCGCCGGCTCGCTGGTCCGGGTCCGCGGTTCGCCGTCCCGGCCAAGCGGCTCGAAGCCTTCGTTCTCGGCTGCTGCCACCATGGCGGTGGAGGCCACGCTGTCGCCCGAGCTGCTGAGGCTCGAAGCGCTGGAGGAGCCGCGCAGCGCCGAGGTCGCGCGGCACGTCTCCAGGGGGGGAAGCGCCGCCAAGGCGCTGGCCTCGGTGGGGACCCGGCTGTTGAAGGCCGTTTTTGGTTTTGATCGGTATTTATATGCACCTCTTTGCCAACCCTTGCGAAAACATCCACCCCCGAACAAACATGTGACGGGGATCTCCTCATGTTCAAAAAGTCACTGAAATCCCAGGTCTTTTTGGGACGTTGTGCGTATCGTCTCGCCAAAGCTGAGCCAAGGCACCAACTCGTGGCTCGAGCCAAGCTGTGCGCTCCCCACTCCCCGCAGCCAGGCCTCCCACGCTCCCCCCGAGGGCATGCGCAGCGCCACCAGGCACGCGGCGCCGCGCGTGGTGTGGATGGGCCGGTGCCGCAAGGCAGGCAAAGCGCAGGCGGAGGCTTGGAGATAGTGGCAGTGAGTGACCAAGAGACATCCTGCAGATGCACCTCTCTTCAAAAACATTCCAACACTTAAAGGTGTACTTTAAGGAGACATAAACCACATCATGACTGTACGGAAACGAGCGGCTCTGAGCCCTATTATCCTACTGCAACACAATACCCTTTCGTGTACTGTACAGTGGTTGCTGCAGGAGTGTCACACGGAGTCGGCACGACTGTCGACCTCTTGGGGGATCAGGAAGAACGACATACCGCAGTCGGATGGTGTCGGTCGAGGGCTTTCGCATGATCCATTCCGAAGTTCTTGACCATTCGCATGGGCGAACCCTAGGTCGAGGATTCCGCTTCATGGGTGAGGGATGGCCTCGAAGATTCGCTCGAGCAGAAAAAAACCCTAGCCGTGATGATTCTGTCTGTGGTCAAACCAACTTATGCACCTGGTGCCATTGACATATACGGTTCAACTATGGTTCAACCTTGCCACTGCAGCTGAGTGACCCTGCACACCTCCCTCGAGCGAATTCAACTGCTCAAGCTGGTGCAGGAATGCTGCTGCAAAGCGTCTTCGTGCCTGGAAAACATGCGGTTCAAGACCAACATGCTCACGACTAGACCATCTCTTGGTGCCTTCCTGTAGCTGTTGTGTTTTAAACATGCCCACGTGGAGAGGTTCTACCATCTGAATGGGCTGGATTATGATGGATCCCAATGATGAATTCCAATCAACTGTCAACATTCTGAGGGACTCTTGTGGAGTGGACTATCCAAACACCTGCCACCCATGGCTGCGGCCACTAGCAGATGGAGCTCCTGAGTGCACAAGATCCACAACGTCATCGTTTCAGGTGTGATCTCGCCATTCTGCTCCCCAGCGGAAGTGATGCCGAAGAAGCGGAAGTTCCATGGAGCAACAAGGACATGTTGCATATTATGACTTAATTAAGGGTCTGCAAACATCGGTTAAAGAGTTGAGCCTTGGAACTTTTACGGCTCCCAATCTAACAGGGCCTCCTCCGGAAGTCGTGCTGGGGATGACACATGACACATGAACCACCCAGTCACAACCACCACAATTCCAAAGACCCAGTATAACCTGGTCTTTGACCTCCTTGAGTAGTGTTTTTGTGTGACCAGTTCCAATGAGGTCACAGATGTCATAGACCTGCAGGGAAACACCACAAACACTCGCATTTCACAGCCCGCCTCCGCTGAAACTCCACCAGCATCATCCAGCTCTCCGGGTAAAAGCTCCAGCTCCTCATCCGCTACCACCGACATCGATGCAGCACCGTTGCTCCCTTGACTCCCGAAGTGCTCAGCGAGGACTTGGGCTGTCTCCCAGCAGGCGGTGGAAGGAGAGGAGACGATCCGGTCGAAGCTCAGGTCCTCACAGGGTTGGAACACAGGAACGTTGAGGGTTTCGATACTTGAGGCGATGGTGGTGGACGTAGAGGGTGCACCTTCTTGAGGATTTCTTGGGAAGAAGAAATCAGTAGGAATGCTGTGTGTCTAGATGACAATTATGCCCAGGGCGGTTTGCGTCAATTGACCAAAATGTGCAACACTCCAAAGGGCACCCTCGGTTTCTGTACGAGATAGCATTAGCCCTAGCATAAGCCATAAGCCATACATCACACATTGAATTCAAAAGGCAGTTCAATTTTGTTTCATCTGCTTCTGCAAACATTTGCATCTCAACCCCCTGCTGGGCGCTTTCTCCTCCCTCTCCAGCGCTTCCGCCAGTTCAGCCACCTGCCGTTGCCCCATGGCCGACAGTGGCCCACCCGGTGAGTCCCACTCGCCATGGGCAGCGATGCAAAGGCACGGACGACGTGGAAGTGGTGCCAACTCCACCTGAACGCAGAACGGTGCAGAACGGGGCCTGCGTACTCCGCGCTTCAATCGTCGGGTTTGCGGACGGAGAAGAGGCCATATGAGAAGAGGCCCCCGGAAATGGAATGATGGGGATGAGGCCTCCACCGCGCTGGTTTTAGACATGGAATCATAGGATCTGGAGAAAAGAACAACACAAATACAATACTGTTTGATCTTGATTAGTGAAGGGCGGCCTCCCCCCCAACGACCCCCCCCCACCTAAACCAATGGGAGGGCCTCTATAATTAATAAATTACCACCAAAACAAATCTGGGTTCCTGGGAGGATTCCTTTAATTGATTGTAGTATTATTCATGTTCCTTTCTGAGGTTCTTTGCAATTAGATATTCTCAGCAATCCTTTTCCTTTGCAGTCTCAGATCTTCAGCAGATCTTGCGGACTACTACCTTGAAAATTTGTTTAGATCCCTGTTGAAATTTCAAGGAGAACTTGGGCCGCTAGATTTCCTAGTAGAATTCTAGGTGAGGTCGATTCAAGGCAAGTCGTGCTTGCTAGAAAATGGTACGTTGTGAAAAAAGCCCTAAAATTCAAGGTGGGGTGGAAAAATGACATCTTCCAAAATAGCCTCTAGAAAATGCTCTATCCAGGTTCAACTTCCCAAGTCTCAGCGAGTAACAAAAATCCAAATCTCATCTTCTAGGGGAACATTGACAGCTGCATGACGAACATGGACAAACATTCCAGAAGATCCCAGAAGTCATTTTCTAGGACCCTGCTTCGGCATCCAATCGACTCACCAGCACCTATCATCATCTCACTCAAAATGACTCCCTAGAAAATGCCCCTTGTAACAACATGATGTTCTAAATGTTCGTTTCTAGAAAATGCAAGGGAATCAATTCAGTGAATTCAGTGTACAAAAGTTGTTCTCTAGAAAAACAACATTTTCTAGGGGACCTAGATCCCTGCATTTCCTAGTGGAAATTTCAACGAGGATTTTAGGAGCAATCTTTACAAAAAGGTTTGATGGGAAGCTGTGAGTTTTGAAGAACCAAAGAAGCCTATGATTACCAATAATATAATAATACTCTCAGCAAGCCAGCGATTGGCTTAGTAGTATTCACAGATCTCCGCAGGAATTGACACTCTCATTCTTCAGATTATAAAAGATTAGGTTCCCCAAAAATTTGGCATAATTATAATATAGAGAACCCTTAAAACAAACATGGTGTCAAGAATTATGTTTGAACAATTTTGCATTGCAAAGGGCCCTATTACTAATTAGCATCCAACATTATTAGGTCCATGTAACAGTACTGGTCAGACTTCAGCAAACCAAAGTCCTTCATCGGGATGTTGACCCTTTATCTACATGCTTATGGTCAATGCCAATATGCATATCAACCTTCATGGAGCAAGCAAATCGGTCATCCCTTTGCCGGGGTCTGCGAGGGTCTCAAACCTCCTCGCTCTGCCGCCTCCATCCCCAAGACCCGCAGGGCGGACTGGGCGTTGCTGGCGCTGCGCTCCATGCCGGCCCGGATCGCGCGCCAGCGGGCGTGGAAGGTGATGGTGTGACCTAGGAACACATCTGGAGCTTGGAGCGCGAAGCAAGGCGTCGTTTCTCCAACAAAACACCTGGAGCTTCGGTTCGGTACATCGCCCAAAATCGCCGTGCTCACAAAAAAACCTGGATGCCCAAGCAAAAATTATGCGTTTTTGCAGAGATCCCAGGGGCAAAAGACCAAGATCCAAGCCAAGCCCAACACTACTGGGACCAGGGTGGATGGATCTTGATAGTCCATCCACATCTTCTGGAACAGCCAGGAGGGCCAAGTGAAGCAAATCAAGATGCTGGTGAGTCCCATTGCGCTGATGCACACCTTGGAGAGAGAGGATCCATGCATATCCATGCAGTGCATATGAACATGTCTGGGGGCCTGGGTCAACGTCAACTCACCTGAGTAGCTCTCTCTCTCTCTCTCTCGAAAAAAAACAACAAAAACAAGTCAAAGGCTGGCGGCTGCCGTATCATTACACGAACACTTGGCACACCATTCCGCACAATCAGCTTCTTATTTAGGACTTGGGTCACAAGACTTCAGCTCATTATTAGCTCTTCTTTCGACTCTTAGAAGCCCTGAAGGCGCACGCCTCAGGAGCTTCATGCGTCCATGCTGACATTGATCCATATGACAGCATAACGCTCGCTTCCGAGAAGCCAATGGGTAGCATCCTGCTTGGAGTGTGATCTGAGTTGCCTGGACCGGACTCCACGATTAGCCACAAACCAGCCGTGTACATCGGGCTTCAGGACTTGGGGAGTGCGACTTGGGGAGGGCGCAGAAATCACCGAACAAGGAGGCGAGAATCGCAAACACTTCTGATATGGGATGTAGAGGGTGCCATGTAATGCAAATGCTTCAGTACCTCATACCCAGAAGAAGGGTCATGTGATATACAACATTTAAATCATATAATGTCCCTCTCTCTCTATCATCTCCAGCTACTATTACTATAATATGTAATATGTATGTTAAATCCGTGTATGTTTATGTATGATGTGCATTCATATGCAAAAACGTTCAGTATATATGGTAGAACGAACGAGAAGGTTGAAGCTGGAGGTTTTGGTCCTCCAATGTTTCCACATGTTTTGGGATTCGTTGTTCGGCCCGTTTTGGTCACCAGGCCCAATCGCTCTTGTTGGGATGTTCTTCAGCTCTCAATTGGTGCGTTCCGAGGTGCTAAAAGGACCTCTACGAGGCACAGGGCTCGGTCGTCGATGAAGTCAATGTGATTTGGATCCGAAAGCCTCAGACGACACACCACGGTGCTCGCCTGGCCTCCACATGAAGCACCGCATCGCACCGAAACCACCCGGCGCCAAAACCTTGTGCAGGTTTCCGAACCGCACTGCTAGGTGCCGCCGGGGGTGATGCGGGTGTACTTTCATCCAAAGTTCTTAGATTAACCCTAGGCTTCCAACCTCCATTCATTTAATAGGCT